TGGCTGTGACTTCTTGCCCAGTCTTGTACAGTCAATTGTCCCCAACATATTCGCTGTTAAGCAACTATTTGGGCATGATATGTGTGTAAAGCATGTCGTCTTTCGGTTCATGGAACGTGTGTCACTAAATAGCGCCACATTAGTCAATCCCCAAGGTGATTCCCTTCTTTAAATGGCCAGACGAGGCGATAACACAGAGGCCATCCGTCAAAGCCCTGTTGTTAAATCAGTTTCCAATTATAGTATTTAACAAAACTGTACTATTATTAGCATTGTTATCAAAATAATTGCTAGCCTGGCTAGCTTGTTGTGTTGTGCAGTGTTCTTTGTCTGTTGCCCCGCACCCAACCTTGTCCCAGTTGTCCTTGTCGGCTTGGGAAGCATACAGGCATACAGTGGGGGCCTGCCATGTGAATAGTGGCCAATAAAAGTGCAAAGATATGGCCTTAATGGCGCTGTGACTCAAATCGAGTTCTGATAGCATTTAGAGACATTTATCATACCTGCAAACAAATAATTAGCTACTACAGTTAATTTACTTTTGAGCAACTACACGCACGCACACAAATTAAGATATATTTAATCTTTTATTCATTATTATTTAATGCTCTTACATCATTTACAATACGTTTCTATATATATGTAGGTGTCTATAGCAGCTATCTGTTAGCTATCTAATCAGAGTTCGTAAGAGACTATTTCAATTTGGCCATAAATCAATTACGCCGTTATTGTGCTCGAAAATGTTGTTTCTTTTTGTTAGCCACACTTTGCATGTAATACCATGATAGATATCAATACTTTTCAATTTAAATTTTGGAACTTCATAATGCTTATCAGCGACGCGTCACAGCTCAAAATCGAAGACAATCAGCGATATGGGTCATAGGAGTACTCACCCTGTGGGGGGGTCTCATTTGTGATTTGTACATTGAACCCCAAATAAAAGTGCCAAATTTTGAAGTGCCGTCATGATTATAAACAATTGTGGTGAACTCATTGATAAACACTAATAAATACATATATATATTTATATATCTTTATATATATGTACGTTCATATTTATGTGTGCGGAACACTTGGTCAATTAACTTATTCACGAATACTATTTATAAGTCAAAATTTGCTCGTTACAGTTACTTACATTCAATATGCAAAGACTGGTTTAAGTCTGTTTGTTTGAAAGAAGTAATATTTGCTTCTAGTTGTAGTCAAAATGTACTGCTTAAATATAATTGAGCAAAGATTTGGATAGTAATAAACCCAATGCAAACCAGAGTCTGAGCTAAGAGAGCAAATGAATTTTGATCAACATAATTTCTCTGAGTGCATAACTAGATAGCTTTTCCAAATGTTCACGATAAATATTATCAAATTTGGCCTCACGTTATAAATCTGCCAGCCATTGGTCACGATATAGCCATTGTCCAGCTAATGATTTTAGTGTCAACACAGCTGGCCTACCAGCCAGTTATAGTGGTTAGTGGCAGCTCTGTGCATCTATTGTGAATGGGTGAGATAACTTCATACTATTTCATAATATTTGTTAATTTTCCCTTCCGTCTATTGATGCTGATCAAGATGGGGATGCCTAATTCATGCATACACTGTGCCTTAGATTGGCAGATTTGTTTGTGATTTAAATACAATTGGAATCAAAACTGCACTTAAGGGTTTTTCGTAAGTGTTGAAAGCCTCAGAAGAGGAGTGAGATGTGCCAATTATCTTTGGATGAGTCAGAAGTTGCGAAACTGCGTCAAAGAACAATTAAATCTGGAGCACAGCCAATAATGGAGTTAATATTAAGAATGAGCCAAACGAAGTTGGCATTGCCAGCATTGACGTAATTCCAGAGCTTCAGTGATAAGGCAACCGGCTGGCATGCAGGCAGGCAGGCAGGCAGGCAGGCAGGCAGGCAGGCAGGCAGGCAGGCAGGCAGGCAGGAGTAGGTGCTGACACCATAATCACTGGAAAAGTTCCCACAGCCGTAATGCATGTCCACTGCAGTTTGTGGGCAACGGAAGGAAGCGTGAAGGGGTGCGTTGTGCTGGATGATCATGAAATTCGCCTGTTGCCAGCTGATTGCCGGCCAAAAGTGCGGTGGCCAATTACGCCAATTATTGATATGAGGCAAATACAATATCTCTGGATAAATACGGTACACATATTCATGTATAGTACGTATGTGCGCCGGCTGGTGGGCGGCAGGTGAGGTAAGGTGGGGTGGAGTGGTCTGGAGTGGTGTGGAGTGGTGTGGTGTGGTCGAGGGTGTGTGTGTGCATGTGTATGTGTAGGGGAGGGGTACCCAATGCTTATGTTGTCATAAAATCAAATCAAACAATAATTATAAGCGTGGCGCAAAATTTCCACAACGATTCTTTCGCACGATAGAATTGACGTCTGCGTCTCCAGCGACGCGTTGTTGTCGGTGGCACTGACGACGGCGGCTGTGACGCCGACTGCGACGCCGTTAGCGATAGCAGCAACAGCGCGGGCCAATTGGAAACCACAACGAACTATCAATGAAATCAACAGCAACGGCGACTGCGTCGAATACGCCAACGTCGGCGTAGACGTCTGCGTCGACGCTGGCGTCTGCGTCTGGGACTGCCTTACAGGCGGCACGACGATTTTTGTATAAATATAAATTACTACGGCATGCTGAAAACATGAATCAGTCTCGTTTAGACGCACGCCAATGATAATCGCGGATCCAACAACGAACCGAAACCAAGCTGAAGCTAAATCTTTAAGTCTATAACTTGTACTGAAACTAAAAATAACAGAAACACCGTCAGAATTGCATAAGCACAAAAACATTATACAAAAAGTAATTAGTCAGTGTTCTTCCCCCGCGGAGCATGAGCACGCCTCAAATAGTATTATTAACGTTTAACGTTAACGCTAAAGTTATCATTAACATTAATATAAAGATTAACATTAACATTAAACCAATCCGGTGCCAAGTGACTTGCCAAACATCTGCAAAAATGTGCCACAAAAGTAAGTACTGCTCATCGGGTCCAAACTCCTAAAGTCCATGAGACCCCACAGGCCCACACCCACAAAAAAAAAAAAAAAAAAACAATAAATAAATAACAAAAAACAAAAAAACCGGTAACAACTAACAAAAAGTAGAAAAAACCAAAGAGTCAAGCAATAAATTTTCACGGGTAATTCAAAACTTACGATCATGGTGAAATTTAATCATTTTTGGAGCGACGTTCTCAGCAATTGAAAAAAAATAATATATATATATATAACACTCAATCATCGCCAAGATTATAAAACTTTAGTTGAGACCCTAAATATTGTTATATTTTTTTTTTCGATGGGGAACCCCATCAAAAACGTTTAGTAATTAATTTATTGATTGATAAAGAAGTAAAGTTCCATTGAAGAAGCTATTGAAAATATAGAATAGCTATCAGCAATTTAATTGCCATAATTATAATCTCTGTACCAATCTATTAATCCAACGTTCAAGTCACATTTTAGCTGTTGACCATATACATATGTGTTTTTTACCTTATGTATTCTCAGTGTGAGCATTTCCCACCATAAAGTTTATAGATCGCGATTAATCGGTCATGAGTTAAACCAGAACTTTGAATAACCCACACCTGCTAAACTGCAATCAGTTCAAATTCAAAATAATAATAAAAATCGTAGTCGGCGCTCTTTCGATAACAACAACAACAACAACAACAACAACAACAACAACAGCAGCAGCAACAGCAACAGCATTAATGTTGTTGTTGCCGTTTTCGTTATCGAATGCGAAGTCAAAGTCGAAGTCGCTGACCTACGATAACAACAAACGTTTGCGCTTGTGGCTTGTGTTGTTTTTGCTTATTGCTGTTGTTTCTGCTCTTGTTGCTGTTGCTGTTGCTGTTGCTTTTGGTTTTGCTTTTGCTTTTGCTGTTGATGTCGCTGTTGTCGATTGCGATGTCGCTAGCCCGGCCGGCACGGCACGAGCGCTGGTTTTGAATGAATTTGTGATTTGTATGAATTATTCATACGTCGCGTTGCCCCGCGGCAGCCAGTTGGTCAACGATGACGTCGCCGTTGCGCTCCCAACTCGTCTGTCTGGTCAGCGTCTGCGTCTGCTGCTCCGGCTGCTGCGGCTGCTGCGGCTGCTCGCTGATGACGGCAAATATCTCTGACCGTTGTGAGCAAAAAAAAAACATAAATAAATAAATAAAAAAAAATCCCAAAATACTCGTACTATGAGTAATTCAAATTTCTTGTGAAATTCAAGCGCCGCACAATTTGTGTGCGATGACAAAGCCAAGAGGCAGGCGTTTAACAATTTCGAAAAATTGCGCTCAATTCATTTGGTCAAAATGCGAGTAGAAACCAAGTAGTTGTGCCTACGCTGTCCCTCTCTAGCTCTCTCTATCTCTCTCTCTCTCTCTCTTTGGTCATCTCTGTCCCTGTCTCTCACTCAATCAGAGCTTGTAAATGGGCTGCTGCTGCTCATCCAGCGCACTCTCACTCAATGGCGAGTGGCTGCGATTGTGGCTGAGTGCGAGTGTGAATGCGAGTGCGAGTGCGAGTATGAGTACGAGTGCGAGTGCGCGACTGGGCAGTTGTCGAGCAGACGCCACGGAGCGCGCACGCAGTATTAACAATCGAACGAATCTTGACTCTCAATAATAGTAGTAATAAGCATCATTTTTGCACTGCGGAAGCAACTCTTCTTGCTATTTGTTAAGTGATTATTGCTGTGTTTGGGGGACGAGCGATACGTGTTTGTCGACTTTTTGTTCCCATGTCCAACGGTAAAGCTCTTTAAATGGCTTTAAAAGTCAAAACTATAAACTAATTAACTAATTAACTGCATTTACTTATCTCTTTTATAATTTCTTTTTGTATTTGCAGCCAAGCATTGCCAAAACCACACACAACACAGCCAAAGCAGCAGCAGCAGCAGCAGCAGCAGCAGCCGCAGCAAAAAACAACACAGTTGCAGCAACAGCAACAGCAGCAGCAGCGGCAGCAGCAACAGAATTAACAGTTATACGCTCATCATGGCGCTGACTGCATTGATGCTGCCATTGGCACACGCTCGGCATCTGCACGATCAGCTCGCGCTCGGCTTTGAGTACGATGATGCGAACAGTGGCAGTGCCAGCTCCAGTGGCAGTTCCAGCTCTAGTTCCGACTCACAATTCGTGTGGCACGCGAATCCGTTTTACGGACTTTCGCAAAGCTTCGGCGATGCCGGCTACGACAGCGACACCAGCAGCAGCAGTAGCAGCAGGAGCAGCAGCAGCAGCAGCAGCGCCAGCAACACCAGCAACGGCAACTATGCAGAAAGTGAGATGAGCTTCGAGGAGATCACCCAAGCAGCGGTGCGTGCAGCAATGCGGGAGCTGCAACGTCAGCAAATCAGGCATCGACGAAGTCACGATCTGAAATACTTCTTGCCGACCGCATCTAAGACGCCAGAATGGGAAAATCCTTGCTTCGGCGGCTATGATCCCAAAAAGCCCGAGATAATCCTGTCCCAACAACAAGTAAGCGAAACTTAAAAAATCAATCCAATCCGATATCATTACAAACCTTGTTAATAGCTGGGAAATGAGTCAAAGTGATTAATTCTAGCTGGGAAGCTAATCAGCTAACCAGCTACTCAGCTAACCACTTCCTCGATTCCAAGTAAAGCTAAGACGAATCTTATAGTTATACACATATAAGAGTTGTGCTGATCGCATTCTTTTTGTTTCTCTTTAGAAGCTCGCTGCTTTGCGCAAACTGAGGCTGAACACGTGCCAAGAGTACACATATATTAAGGACAATCTCAATTTTGAAACCGACACAAGCCAACCTTTTGCGGGCGCTTACAGTTTCCTGCCAAACATGACGGAGCCCACAAGAAAGGTAAGTGGGACGCAATCAATGAGATGCACTGAGAGGCAATGTGGCAGCTGTGATGCTTGATGCTTGATGCATTGAAGCTTTGATACTTTGATGCACGATGATCGATCGGCTGGACCGGCTCCGCCCTGGGCGGCATAGACCAGTTTCCGCTCTGGCTCGCTGGCTCTCCGTTCGATCGTCGTTTGCATTTGCATTTGCATTTGCCCTTTTCATTTGCACATCTGACTCGCTCTCTCTCTCTCTCTCTCTCTCGCTATCCTTGTGGCAATTGACTAACTTCTTGTTGTTTGTTAACAGCGAAAACTGAAGACGTGGCACCGCAATATGCAGTTATTCATTGGCAGCTTTGCGTATTTGGGCAAGACCCATTACAAGTACAGATATGAAAATCAACTGCCGTTGGACAACACCACAACTGAGCTCCACGAGTTGCTGCTTAGTGCGCGTCGTGTGCTCTGCGAGATCGAGACGGTCTTCAATGCAACACATCCGAAAAGCAATGGCAGCAAGCTCAAAGTGCTCAGCAAGGGAGCCATGCACGATAAGCTCGATGAGTTATTTACGAAGAGTGACAGCAAGGAGGTGGCTCTGGGCGATCTCAAGTTTACCAAGCAGCTATACTATAAGTTTCTGGTCCACCTGAGCGATTCACTGAAAATCTCAAATAAATATCTGGATAAGAAGATAAAAAAGGAGCGATCAAGGCAGCAATCAACCGGCTCCAATTCCGGCATGGAGAGCTCTGAAAGTTCAGGTTCAGCAGAGCAGCAAAATGTGCCTGCTAGAACGGTGCCCAATATTAAGCGGAGAGGTCGATGAGCTATCAGCGATGAGGGATTGTCGCTTACCCAGTATTAGCGCCGAGGGCTGTTTTCACAGTTCCTCGCTGCAGTTGCAGTTGCAGCTGTAGCTAGGCGCCAAGCCAAAAATAGAAACACAAAAATCAAAAAACAATGAAGAATTTGTCGAATGCCATTTTAGAATTTAATGAATCCTCATTCCATCTACACCTAGCCCCTATTCCCCGCTCTCTTATCATATACGTATTAATAATTTATTTATTTATTTATTATTTATGCTAGTACTATGTAGTATTATGTATATTGTATTATCGTATTATAATCATCGCTACTTCCGTCAAGCGGCTGCTTATGTTCATACACACCAACACACACAAAAAGTATTTATTTATTTATTATTCAAATGACACATACCCATTTCCAGCAAGTTTCTAAGTCTAAAGTTGATTATTTGTCGCGGCTACTTAATAATTTCAAGTAGTTTGTTTATCTATTTATAGCATTTTTTTTAATAATTTATTTCTATTTATTTATTGTGAGCGAAATTAGCAAAAGGACACGAAACAGGCAACAAAAATCAAAAGAAAAATAAAAACAAAAAACAAAAAAAAATAAGAAATTGCTTAAATACACTGTGATTTATTTTAAGTAATTCCTTTTTTTTAATAGTTATTAGTGTTAATTATACAAATATTTATGTCATTAAAACCCTGAAACAAAATCTTCAAAACAAATCGGAAAAATTTGGAATTCAACTAAACGTACACAAAACCACAAAACAACTTATCCTATATACACATACGAATTTGTGAAACATATTTATGCATAAGAAACTTAGGTGTTGAAATTTAAATTATCCAATACAAATAAATTGACGACATACAAAAACTAAATTTGCTTTTCTATTTCTTTGTAGAATGTATATTTATTATAAACTTAGCAACATCGGACACAAATATTATTGTATATTCTAGTTCGATCCCTATTTTAAATGTATAATGAAATTGATGTGTCAGCAGGGACACTGCAATCCCAAGGGTATGTTATCTTCGGCGTATCAAGGATAGTTGTCATTTTTGTTATATCCTGAACTGATTAAAAATGGTTAAAACGAGTATAATGAAGTTGTGCAATATATGTAAGAGATAGCAACTCCATAAGATATATCCGTGATCCCCGCTAGTCTGTATGAATAGACGGATCTCAGAGACTATAAGCACTGGAGACATCAAATTGGGAATTTATGCTCTCGAACAAACATTTAGATTCTTAACTCTGATTCTGATTTTAATCAGTAAAAATGCGGTTCTGATTTTGCTTTCGTTTTGATATCCCGTCTTAAACTGCTTGATTAAATAGAATCCGGATATACAATATGGGTAGAATATTTTACACACAAGGAAGATTTCGATCTCAACGAAATTTTTTGAATAATTGTCTTGATGATTTGTTTGGCAATGGGTTAATATTTTTTTAATTAGGATTGTTTAACTGATTTATCTAGAGTTTGCGGAACTTTGGGCTTAAATGAATTCATACCATATTTTGGCAGCAGCAGCAAAGAACTTTAAATAATAAGAAATTGTTTACATACTTGAATTTGGAGCCCTGCGTAGCTTAATATGAAGAGCTTATTGTTAGTCGTAATTATATCCACACTATGTTAAGTGCAGTTTGATTAATTAGTTTTTTATAATTAGTTGTTTCGCATAACTACAGCTGATAGATCGTTTAAATTAGTTAAAATAAAGCTGTCAAAAAGCTGATGGCGTAAACAGCATTATTAGATAATTTAATTGCATACTTCCGGTTACACTCGGATTGTGAATGACTCGCACTTCATTAATGTACGTGTGTTAGCCTAAGAACCTGAACAAGTATTTTTTGCGTTGAAAATCAAATCGGCTCTCTGAGTCAAGTGGCACATATCGGTCATAATCAGGCCACTCAACGCGCCAAGCGGTCTCGTATCTGTGAGCCAGTATAAAAGGTGCAAATGCAGTGAGTTGAAGGTGGACTCAGAATTCGGGGAAAAACACGTTAGTAATGTAACAATGTCTTAGCATCTTATCAGCGTGCGAAACGGGAACGGATGAAGTGTGCTCGGTGTGCGAAATGCGATGCGTTCCGAGTTATTCATGCTCCAAGTATTCTAAGCATTCGATGTATTTAATGAGCAAACAGTCGAACACTAAGTATCTCAAGTGTCTGCCTGGGATTAAAATATTAGTTGTCGCAGGTCTGTAAACTCAGACAAAACACGGCGCACGTAGAATACCTTGACACACTGCCAAAGCACACTTAAGGGGAGTTTACATACGCCAGCAATATCGGAGAATATTCGCCAATTGCGCTGCCACACACTTATACACACCTGCCAGATGCTCTCCCAGAGTAAAAGAGTATACCTGGTAACATCTCGGAGAGCAAATTTATATGGCAAAATTGAATTTTTGTTACACCTACCAAACTTAGGAAGATAAAAAAAACTTGTATATGCAAAAAAAAAAAAATTATCCTGCAAAAAGGAGAAATATAAAAAGAAAATTGTTAAGTGTTAGTAGCTTTGTAGTAGGGAAAGTAAAAAGGCAAATTCCCAGAAGAAATACTAACACATAGTACACATAAGGGGCCCGACGATGTCAAACACGAGCTTGTTAACAAAATACGACCCACTCCCGGCCAACTAATCGTTCGGTGACGAAGATCGCGACCAATTAGACAAATAGTATAATACGAGCTGTAAGATGATAAGAACGCATTAAGTAAATAAAATATTTGGCAGCGTGTTTAAATAGGCCTCCAAGGCCATACGTACGCTGAAGTAGAGACCGTCGGCCAATGTATACCAGCCAATCTCACTGCATACTTTCAGGCTGTACATTTGAGTTGGACTATAAACCATTTTGGGTGTCTTGGCTAAGCTAGCGAACTTTATTTCATCAAAGACTCAAACCACTACAGAAAAGCTGTGTGCTTTTTTACTGTTATTTAAAATTTCCCTTACTGTAATAATCTCTGTTAACCACATTTCAAAATCCTCAGGAAGCAATTCTGATAGTTTTCACTTACTTATGTATGTTAATTATAGTATACTTACGCAATGTATGAATGCAATATATTTTTGCATTTTCTTCTGGTTTGCACTTGCATACAGTATTTGCATGTCATAAATTTATATTTTTTTTATTTTGGTCAGGAAAAATATTATATTGACTGGTCTTACCTCTTCATAACTTCTGATCACACTGCGACACATTATACGACAACTTATATTCCAAATTTGAAGTTTTTTGCGCGAATAGTCTCTGAGATCCGCATAATTCTACAGACGGCCAGACGGAAATGGCAAGATCGACTCAGCTTTTGATCGTGATTAAGAATATATACACATTGTGGGATCAGAGGTGCTCTCTTCTATCAAATTTTTAATGGGTAAAAAAAAAAAAACTCTCATTTGTTATCATCTTATTTATGAACTATTTAAGACTCAGCTGTGTAGTTTGCAACAGTTGACTGCCCGGTCACAGTAAACCTCTTCATTAAGATACATATCGACTGGACTCAAAGTATATCGGAGTAAGAAAAAAATTATAGAAAGCACTTGACCTCACCCGGAGAAATCGAAAGACATATTTCTCACGCGATTCTATGTAACACAAATAATTTGACAATAATCAGTCTTGGAACGATGAAAAGCAAAATACTTGTTTTAAGAAGTAACTTTGCGATATAGAAACATACTCTCTGAATTATAAAAGGTGTTACACGAGTATGGAGATTTTCTGAGTGTATACATATTTATGTGGTCGGAGATAACTCCCCATATGAGTTGCAAGCTCGAAAACTATTTTATAATACCATCCATATACGAATTGGATTTGACCAGTTTCAATGCACTTAGTGTCCTAATCTAAAAGATAGATTTCATAAAAACGTTTTATGGCTTTTGCGTTGCGGAGCATGAAAAATAATTTTAAGTTTTAATTTAATTTTCCCAATAACACCACTGGCTCACACACTGGTACATCACCGATACAATGCAGACACACTCACACATACATACATATTCATACACACACACGCACACACGTTAATGAATAAGAAATTGTAAATGTTGTACTACCTTTGACAAAGTCAACACACAAAGCACTCAAAAGTCGCAAGATCTCGCGATATTTTCCATTTCCAGTTCACTGTTCACTAGGAAAAGACTTCTTCGTCAAAGAGAAAGTTTTGCAATGGCTAATGAATTGAATTAAACTGAAACCTGTTAACAAGTTGTAATCTACATAAATATCGGTGCAATTTCAATGGACTTCATCAGGCCTCTACGAAAGTATGAATGCAAATGAATGTTGACGTCAGGAGTGGGAGTTGCTGTGGACTGTTGCTGTTGCTGTTGCTGTTGCAATAGTGGGCTAGGGATATGCATCCTTCAACCTGAAACGCTTTCTGGCAGCAGCTGGCAACAAAAAACAAGAGGCATACAACACTGCACTGAGCTTCGCTTGTGCCGCCTCCCGGTTGCCCTACATAGCACTGCTCCCTGATGCTTCTAACGATTATAACATGGTGACGATGACGACACTCTGCTTTCTGCTTTTTTGCTATTCGCTTCACACTTTTTGCAGCTATCAGTGTCAAGCTGGATGCTGTTGTTGCCCGGGTATCGCTGGCAACGTTGGCGCCATTAAAACTAACGGGGCGGTATCATTTTAAAGAATATCAGTTTAATTAATATTTTAGAAAAACATCCACTGATCCACCTGCTGCCCCTATTCGCATACAAAAGCGCAGTGCAAGGAAACACATCATCAGCCAGCTTCTGGTCGCTGATACTGATACAAGTACAGGTACAGGTACAGGTACAGGTACAGATACTGTACTGCTTAGGGTGCCAGCATTAGTGGTACTGGCATTGGTATGTATACTGCTACTGCTACTGGCCCTGGTTCTGGTCAGCAAATTGGGCTTTAAGTCAGCAGCAAGCTTTACTTTTTATGACTTTACGGTGTCGTCGTCGTACCCCGTCGTATCCCGTCAGCCGACCGTCGTCGTCGTCATCATCAACGTCTTCTCCTCTTTCTGGGGCTGCACTCAATAAAAATTGCATTGCATAGCAAAAGGGG